TTAATTATTTCTTATAATATGACATTTTAAAACTTCCCCACAGGGTTAATTTTCAACATATATGATGTATGACCTCCTTCTTGTAGATTGTTTAGTGTACAATTTAAGGTTTTTGTTAAAGGCATTGGTATTTCTGACATGTTGATTTCAAGAGAAAAAAACACCCACAGCCATCAAAGAAAGTTTTATTTTTTCCCTTTTTTTTATGATAAACATGTCTCTTTTTCCTAAAAAAATTAATTCCAGTTTTTTGAGGTTATGATAGTTTTGCCTAATATAATATTCCTTTACTCTCAAATTTTTACTTGCTAGTTGAGAAATTGCATTTTATTTCTTTAAATAGCAATGACTGGGCAGAGTCCTCTGAATACCTGTGCTTTATTTATTTTGCATTTTATATGGTAATGTTTCCTGTCACCTTGCCCCTCATAGTGAATGATTACTAGCCATTCTTCAGTTGTCTGTTGTATGTGTAGGTTTTTTTAAATGCTGCCATCTGATACACAAATCAACCAGTCTTATTTTTTAAAGAATAATTTGCTGGATTTTAATTTGTGTGAAGAAATAAAGTCACTTTTTCATAACTCCTAAAGTATTTCTTAGATTCCAGCCACTAATTGTGGATTTTAATTTGTGTGAAGAAATAAAGTCACTTTTTCATAACTCCTAAAGTATTTCGTAGATTCCAGCCGCTTATTGTATAGCAGGGACAAAAACTATAGTCATGTATTTTGGGATCTTTCCTTCAAATTAGAGGAGTTTCTAAATTTGACTTGTTATTTCATTTTATTAATCTACTTCACCCGTAAATATTTTCAGTGTTCTTAGTCTCTATTCACTTTTTAAAATAATTTTTTATTTTTTAGTTATAGTCTGCATATAATACTATATTAGTTTCAGGTGTGTAACAGTGATTAGATACTTGTGTAACTCAAAGTGATCCACCACCTTAATAAATCTAGTGCCCCTCTGACACCATACATAGTTATTACAATATTATTGGCTCTATACGTTATGCTGTAATTTCTATCTCCATGACTATTTGTAACTACCAATTTGTATTTCTTAATCCCTTCTCCCTTTTTCACTGACTCCTCGAACTCCTCCCCCCTCAATCTGGTAACCTTCAAAATGTTCTCTATCTATGAGTTTGTTCCCGTTTGCTTATTTTGTTCTTTGGATTCCACACATCCATGCAATCATGTGGCATTTGTCTTCCTCTGACTTACTCCATTCAGCACTCTACCCTCTAGGTCCATCAGGCAATATCTTTTTCTGTCCCCTTACTTTTAGTATGTGTCTTTTAATCTGAAGTGAGCCTCTTGTAGGCAGCATATGTAAGGGTCTTGTTTTCTTATCTATTCAGCCACCTTATCTTTTGATTAGAGCATTTAATTCTTTTTCATTGAAGTACTCATTGATGGACATGTAGTTATTGCCATTCTTCATTTAGGCTTTTGATACATATTTTTTTCTTCTTAAAGTAGTTCTTCCATTTTCTGTAATACTGGCTTGGTGGTAATGGACTCCTTTAGATTTTTCTTGTCTGGGAAGCTCTTCATCTGTCCTTATATTCTAAATAATAACTTTGCTGAGTAAAGTAATCTTGGTTTGTAGGTCCTGGGTTTTCATCACTTTCAGTATTTTGTGCCAAGTGGTTCTTGTCCTGCATAGTTTCTTTTGAGAAATCAGCTGTCAGTCTTATGGGCATTCCCTTGTATGTAACTAATGGCTTTCCTCTTGCTGCTTTTAAGATTCTCTCTTTGAATTTAATGTTTGACATTTTAACTATGATGTGTCTTGGCGTAGGCCATTTTGGGTTCATCTTGTTTGGGATTCTGAACATTCTGGGGTTGTGTGTTTCCTTCACCACGTTAGGGAAGTTTTCTATCATTATTTCTTTAAATAGCTTTTTAATTTCTTTCTCTCTCTCTCCTCCTTCTGGTACCTCTATGATGCAAATGTTGGGATGCTTGATGTTGTCCCAGAGGCCCCTTAAACTGTCCTCATTTTCTTGGTTCTTTTTTATTGCTGCTGTTCTTATTGGGTATTTTCTGCTACCTTATCTTCCAAATTGCTGATTCAGTCCTCTGCTTCACTTAATCTATTGATTTCCTCTAACGTATTCTTTTCAGTTATTGTAGTCTTTATTTCTGACTGGTTCTTTTTTTATATTTCCTATCTCTTTGTTGAAGTTCTCACTGAAATCACTGAGCACCCTTATAACTAGTGTTCTGCACTCTGTATCTGGTAGATTCTTGTCCCATTTTATTTAGTTCTTTTTCTGGAGCTTTGTTCTGTTCTTTCGTTCGAGATATGTTTGTTTCCTCACTTTGGATGCCTCCCTGTGTTTGTATGTAGTAGGAAGAACTGCTGTGTCTCCCGGTCTTGGCAGAGTGGTCTTATGTGGTAGGTGTCCTGCGAGACCCAATTGTGCAGGCTCCTTGCTCAACTGAGCCAAGTGCTCCAGGTGTGTCTCTTGTGTGGGTTGTGGGTACCCTCCGGTTGTAGTTGATCCTTGGTTGCTGTTAGCACATCAGTGTCGTGGTACGGGCAGTACAGAGGAGAAGCCATGGTGTATCTTGGTAACCTGGGAACTGGTGCTGGCAAAGCAGAGTTAGAAGGGGCTATCAGTTATTATGGTCTCTTAGAACTGTGTGGATTGCAAGAAATCCTCCAGGTTTTGCCTTTGCAGAATTTGAAGACCCTAGAGATGTAGAAGATGCAGTGCGAGGCCTGGATGGCAAAGTGATTTGTGGCTCCTGGGCAAGGGTTGAACTATCAACAGGCAAGCCTTGGAGTTCTTATTTCGATAGACCCCTGCCCGACATCCCTTTAATCCCAGTAATAGATGCTATGAGTATGGTGAAAAGGGACATTATGCTTATGATTGTCATCGCTATAGCCAGCGAAGAAGCAAGTCACTGTCTAGATCATATTCGAGATTCAGATGTAGGCAGTACTCTCACTTATGAAGCAGGAGCAGGGGAAGGAGGTTAGGATCAGCATTTCTTTGATGATTAAGATCTGTGTCTCTTAATACAGTCAGTTTCACTCAGACGGTCTAGGTCTGGTTTTATAAAAAGATGAAGGTATTTCCAATCCTGGTCGAGGTCAAGATCAAGATCCAGGTCTCTTTAGTGACCAAGAAGCAGTAGTTCCTCATCAGGAAGTCTATGAAGAAATGCAAGTCCTGAAAGAGTGGACTGAAGTTCTCAAGTTCACCTTTTTGGGAAAGGTGTTTTTCAACATTATTATAAGGGATTTGTGATGTTTGTGAACTAACCTAGGAAGGGTATTTCAACCATCTAATCAAATGAATCTGGATTATTACTCTATAAATTCATCGTGTAAGATAATATAAGTTGTATTAATATCCTGTGGTGCTTGCTTTGGCAGCACATATACTAAAAAAACCATCCTATGGTCTGAAAATGTGGGTTTTTATTTGGTACTTTTAAATAAAATGTTTTTAGGGAAAAAAAGCAAGGACCAACAACCAAGATTACTCTGCCCAGCAAAGCTATCATTTAGAATCAAAAGACAGATAAAGAACTTCCCAGACAAGAAAAAGCTAAAGGATTAGTTCATCACCACCAAACCAGTATTGCAAGAAATGTTAGAGACTTCTTTAAGAAGAAGAAAAAAATCAAAAATATGAATAATGGCAGGAACTACACATCTGTTAACAGTTACTTTAAGTGTAAATGGATGAAATGCTGCAATCAAAAGACATAAGACGTCTTGATAAGTGAAAAATGCTTACATATGTTGCCTATAAGAGACTTACTTCACATTGAAAGAGACAGACTGAAAGTAAAGGGATGGAAAACGATATCTCATGAAAATAGAATGGAAAAAACAAAAAACTGGGTAGCAATACTTATATCAGACAGACTTTAAAATGAGATAAAAAAGGACTTAATAATCTTAGTTCTGGGTATTTATCTGAAGAAACCCAAAATATGCCTTTGAAGGGACATGTGAATCCATATGTTCATTGCAGCACTGTTTATCACCAAGATATGGAGGCAACCTGGTTGTTCCATCAGTGGATGAACAGATAAACAAGAGGTGTTACATACATCCAATGGAATATTACTCAGCCATATAAAAGAACGAAATCTTGCCATCTGCGACAATATGAGTGGACCTGCTGGAGGGTATTGTGCTGAGGAGAATAAGTCAGACAGAGATAGACAAATGTCATGTGATTTCACTTATATTTGGAATCTAGAGAACAGGATAAATGAACAGACAAAACAGAAACAGGCTCAAAGATACAGAGAGCATTTTCATGGTTGCCAGATTGGGAATAGGATGAGAGAATAAGGGAGGGGATTAGGAGTTATAAATTGGTAGTTACAAAATAGTCATGGAGATGTAGGGTGTAGCATGGGGAATATGATCAGTAGTATTGTAATAGCTAGGTAGGGTATCATTTAGGTACTGAATTTATCAGGGTGTTCACTGTAAGTTATACAAATGTGTAATCATCATGTCCTACTCCTGAAACATAAAATACTTTATGTTAGCCGTATTTGAAAAATTAAAAATTACTTTTAAGAAAAGTTGCTTTTTAGATGATTTGTATCATTTTACACTTTCACTAGAAAATGTAGCTGAGAATGCCTCCTTCTTTTGAGTTTTCCCCAGCATTTGCTGGTATTATTTTTAATCTTTGATTTTAGAAGTAAAAAAATCTATACA